GATAGGGTCTTGCTTTGTGGCCCAGACAGGCCTCTACTTCTCCATCCTCCTGCCTCAGCCTCCTAAGTGCTGAGATCACTAGCATGTTCCTCGAAGCCCAGTAGTAAATATTTATTAACATGGCCATTTTGTTAACACTGATCTTCCTACTAGACTGTGAGTTCCCCTAGAAGAGGCATGCATGTTATTAGTACCTGGTTTTCAATGCTTACTGCTGGTATAGGGAACATTATTCTGAATAAATAAACATAATTTCCCTTTAGTTTATGCTGCACATACATAGTAAATGGTATGGCTAAGTATTTCATTATATTTCTCTGAAGAAGGGCCAAATTCTCAAAAGTTGGAAAAATTGTCCCTCAAAAGTCTTCTAAGCAGTAAGTTGTTGGACAGTTGGCCAATGGCATGTTAAAGTGTGTTTTCAGAGCAGCCCTTCCTAGTAGCCAGCTCTCCTGTCTGTCTGAACAGGCCTCTCTGGATGGTGTGGCTATGCACCAGGAAGCCAGGGAGAAGCTTTGTACTTCTTCATGCTGTGAGAACCCTATGCTCTTCCATGATCCAGCTTTAGTGATTATAATAGATGATGGGCTTAATCCCTAAAAATGAAAAACTTTTCCTATCTCAAAACCATTTCCTGCCTCCTGAGGTAAAACAAAACTTTCCCTGAGGAATGATGGAAATGTGCTCAAATATTATTTTGTTTGTTTTGTTTTGTTTTCGAGACAGGGTTTCTCTGTGTTGTTTTGGTGCCTGACCTGGATCTTGCTCTGTAGACCAGGCTGCCCTTGAACTCACAGAGATCTGCCTGGCTCTGCCTCCCGAGTGCTGGGATTATAGTCATGCACCACCACCACCAGGCTCAAATATTCTTAAAAGATCCTACATAGAACAAAATATTCTTTTGAAATGCGCCATAGTTCTTTTCATTCACATTTAAAAACCTGAATGAGGTGGTAGAAAATTCAGCAGGAGGAAATGCTTTCCAATCCCTGTCTCATTTGTGATCTCCTCTAAGTGTCAATTTCCTTGTCTGCAAAATGGGATGACAAAAATGTGTATCCTGTCCTGCGGAACTGTAAGCAATCAATTAGCAAATGGTGACATGAATGTACACTGCTCTTGTCACTGCAGTGTCTCTGACACCCTCTTCTTTCAGTCGTGACAGTCCCTGACCTTTTCCTTTGTGAAAGGAAAGCGTCACATCAGTTCATTTCCTTCAGCACAGACACAGCAATCTCCTGTTATTACACTCCAAAGGAGGTTGGAGGCTACTGATTCTGGACTTGACAACATTGGTCTGGTTCTCACAGATCTTCTGGGGAGATCCACGGGACACTCAAACCACATCTCACCTCACAGTCTTTTAGAGATGGATAAAGAGGGAGGCTGGAGTCAAGGCCCCTGTGAAAACTGTAATTTCACTGCCAGTGTGAGTTTAAACTTTAACAGCTTTGGTATCCATCTGTGAAATGTCATTTCTGTTGGTCCCATCCTATAGCACAAACAATAGAAAAATCACACATCCATCCCCGTCAAAGTCTACAGTTTCTCTATAATGTATGGGCACTCAAGTTACACTAATTTATTCTCCAGTTACTTTTATTTTTTTAGCATTTTTATTTGACTCTTACACTACATAATTAATGGTGTTTACAAGGAAAGGTTGTTTAACTAATGTAAATGGTGTAAGTGGATTACTTGAGCAAGCCTTAAAACAAATAAGCATTCTTCCCCCTTTGAAATTTTTTTTCACTCTCCTCTAACTGTCTGGAACAAGAGCAGAGTTTGTTTTTTTGTTTTTTTTTTTTAATGTCACAGAGGATATAGAAATCAGGTTTCTGCGGCCCATTCTTTCCTGGTGGAACAGGCTTATAATTCTGTCTCCTCTTACAATGGTTGGCCTGGAGATAGTCAACAGTGACCCAATGACCCAACACATCCCAGACTTGGAAGCACATCTTTTCTTTGGGAGGTTGCCACTGTTTTTCTCCATGACCTTAAACATAACCTAATATCTGGCCCTTTCAAATCATTTCCTGCAGCTGGAAGTACCTAGAAAGACTGACTGATGAGATAAACAAATATGCTCATCATCAAGACCAGAACACCAGGGAACTCCTCCCAGGTTTCTGAATGTTTCTACCATCATATCACCCAACTGTAGCAATTACTGAGATAGCCCCTCCTAGTCAAAGTCCACGTCTCATGTTCTTTGAGTGGCAGCACAAATCCAGGTTACAGTAAAATAGGGCAGGCATGACAATCACTCCCTGCTAAGACATTATTTTTTTAAAGCATTCTGAAGGAAAGTTTTCATACCAACAGCCATTTACTTTACTTCTGCTTTCTCAGAGGCAAAGCCAAGAAGGAAGAGTGAAGCCACCACCTCCCACACCCACATGTATAGCCCTCATGAAGCCTTAAATGGAAGGCCTGACTCCAAGTCATTTCTGGAAGGACAGATAGTGTATCGTCTAAAGTACTCTGGAGTTATCTCAGGAGTAACAGACCAGCCCTTCCAAGCAGGCTGTTTCTAGAGTTAGGCTGAAGCCTCAGACATAACCACTGAGATACCAGTCTTGAGGTCTAAGTATAGAACTCAGGTTCCAAAGTAATCAGAACACAGACTGGTGCTTCAGTTCTCAGGGCAAACACTAGAACTGGAGTCCACAGAGGACAATACACTGGTCAAAGGCCTACGAAAAGAATATTTTAGAAAAAAAATACCAACCAGTGCTATTTAAAGACCTTCAATCTTACCTTCACATCATTTGAAACATACTAAAAGCTGTGAGTAGACCCTATTTAATATTTTTTCTGTAAAAACAAATTTGTACACTTTTCTGAAATTATTTAGCTGAAGTCATCAATAAATAGACTACACTACAATGTCTCAGTATTCATCACATTGTAGTAGCTCTCATGTATTCAGACTGTCTCAATAGGGTGCTGTTTGCAATGAATGCTAAATCCAGCCTTTAGTGACACCCACACATGTTCTACTCTGTGACCCTTGAATAAATGTTTATAATTTTGCTGTGGCCAATTTTTTTTTGAGATAATCATTTTTTCTGTTCAAACTCCAGAAATCCTCTCAAACAAAGGTCCTTTGCTTGGCACAGGGAGGTGGGAAACTTGGACCTAAAAGCCAAACTGTTCTTCTGGGATAAAGGCTCTAACACAGACATTCCCAAGGTGACTGGGCACTGATAACCAAAGCCTCAGGGATCCACAACCATTTCAGGGAATTCCCACTCTCAAGTGAAACTGTTTGTATGCATTCCTGTTTGTATGGAGTCCTGTGCTACCACTTAAAAACTGTATAACCACCCAAAAAATCCACTAATTAAATGCAAACTCTGGAAATGAACTTTGACTCCTTGGGGAAATTTATCTGTAATCAACACTGGAATGCTTTCATTGTGACCTTTGGGAAAACCATTCATCTTCAGTTTGTGAAATCAAATTTCATAAATCCAACTTACTATACAAAGCTTCATTTTCCAACAAAATAAAAATGAAATTTGGAAGCTGACCTGAAGTTACATTTCCAGGAAGATCTATCTCTCCACAAAATGTCCACAATATGCACACTCTACCAAGATACTTATAGCTAGACACAGCATTAGTTCCTAAAAAATAATACATTTGTAACTGTTATAGAATGACCTTTTTCTGCTCAGAAAGATTAGGACTTATCAGAGTGTATCAACAACAACAACAACAAAAATCATAGGTCTGTTTATAGGCTCCAAATCCTCTTTTGGCTGCTAACAAATGCTGAAGTGATAAAGTATGAACTTGAAAATTCTACTTTCAAATTGTGTCCTCTACCAATATCATAGAATCAATATGTTATGTTTAAGGGATTCATTTCTGACCTTCTTTATCTTTTTTTTTTTTTTCTTAAGCACGAAATACACAGTGATTTTTGTTCGGTGATGAGTCCACAGGTACTGAAATTCCAATATGCTCTTTTCTATCTGGGAGGATATGGGCAAGTTATTAAGCCTCCATTTCATCATCTGTAAAATGGTACTTAATAAGACCGTTCACAGGATTAAACATGTTAATGAGTGCCAAGCTTTGGATGAGCAATCAATAAATATTAATTTGAGTATTATTATACTTATTACCCATCATTTTCTTATTACTTACAATACCACCACACCTGGAGCCTATGCTACTTAGTCATTTTCCTGACGTCCCTGCTAGTTCCACCTATACTAAGCCATTATCGTCCCAACTCTGAGAGATCCTTTTTGAAGACAAAAACAATTATTCCCGCTCCCCTTCCTGCATAGGGGCATAGTCAATCAGAAAGTATTCCAGCTGCCGGTAGCACAGGCCTGTCCTGGCTACCTGGCCTGACTCCATACTGTTCTTCCTCCTTTCACCTCTAGTCCCCAATCCCCTTCAAGCTTTGGCCTGTTGTCTGTGCATGGTCCAAGCTGTGCTCTTTTCAACGCTAGAGGGTTCTGTTCCTGTCCTGGGGCTGTCATATGCTAGTCCCAAAGCTACTTCTCTAACCAGCTGACATTCCTATGTTTTCACAGGTCATATCATATTCCTCCTCTTCAAAACGCTTAGCCTAACACATGCACCACCTGTTTTAAAGGATAATTTCCCCCCATGTCTGCCTTGCCTACAGGGTTATAAGGTTGTAAACGTAGGGAGGGAGGTACAGTTCCCAGCTTTGCTCATCCTGTTCCTTATAGCCCAGTTCAGCCCCAACCCGAAGGAAGAGGAAGACGGTAAATAGGACCTGAATAAATGAAAGAACGCATACAGGGAGCGGTTAAAATGGCCAGTCCCAAAATGCTGCCTCTCAACGCCCCCAGGCTGTTTCCTTAACACACAGGGCTTCTCCTCTACTTCTTCCCTCTTCTCTTTCTTTTTCAATACATCTTAGCTTGGCTTTCTCTTCTACTGCCTCGGGGGATGCTCGCCCCGGGCGAAGACAGAAAAGACCCGGAGAGGAAGGAGCCCAGGCGGCAGGGCGGCGCCCGCGGGCCGGAAGTGCAGCGCGCGCGGCGGAAGTGCGGCGGGCGGGCGGAAGGGGCGGGGGCCGGGCGACCTGAGGCCGAGGTGGGTGATGGCGCTGGGGTCGCCGTGGGCGCTCGGTGTGTGCCGGGGGTGTGTTAGCTCGCGCCCGCAGGAGGAGGCCGCGAGCCCTGCGAGCAGTGCGGCTTCCGCTGCCGTTGGAGGGGATTTAATTAAGCCGAGAGCTATAAATCCCCGAGCCACTGGGGGGAGATTGTAAACGCGCGCTTGTGAAGGCGCTCGGGGAACCGAATAAATGACGGGAGGTTTAAAAAAAAAAAAAAAAAAAATGACCGCTCTTCGAAGAAAGCAGAAAATGTCTCAAGTCCTGCTTCTTCCAGTGATTCACAGAGGCCCCGGTCCCGGGTTTAATTGAATTCTATGAAGTGGCAATATCACACTTGACAGCCTGCTGAGTTGACTGCCTTTTTAAATAAATGTTTTTGAGCAGCCGTGTTGACCTTTAATTGGGGTGAAAAGGTTGGAAAGTGCAGGAGGGGGACATCGTGAGTGCCAGGCCCCTCTGCACCCGGCTGTCTGGACCCGGTCTTTGCTTTATTGGGCAGAAGCAGCCCTCTGGGCTGTGGACAATGAAAGAATAAATCAGACCTAACAGTTCTCAACAAATACTTAGCCCTGTCGCTCACCCCCTGACAAATACCAACTAATACAATTTTTAATAAGTCCAAGGGTAGAAAGTCTCTGACAGTTGTGAATTGGTATCTGATTGTTTCTAAGGCTGTCTTTAAAGTGGGTTTTTTCCTGACTAATCTTTATCCTTATTCTTATTAATCATGTTTATATAAAACTGTATTTTAGTGTTCTTTTAGAAAAAAAAAAAATACACTGTGAGGTCTAGCATAACCCAAAGATTCTCAGTTCCTTAAACACAGGAATGGTACTTAGAATCTTATAGCCTAACAGTAATAGTACATTTCCCAACCTAAGATAGGCTCCTGTAACTACACATTGCCTTGGTTAAATTAATCACTTTGACTGTCTCAGTAGACCATTGAGCAAGTTGAGATGGCTCTCAGAAGCCACAGTCATCTCATTCAGTAATATTTTGTAGAATAACTTCTAAAAATGCACATGATGCACTCTACCAATATTTACAAGTGCATGCATGAGGTGTGTAATTGGTAAACAGCAGAGATTGAAATGCAAGGGAAACAGTATGGTGGTGGTACTTGCCTACAATCCCAGCACTGTAGATTAGGCTGGCAAAACTCAGTTCTGGACCAGCCTGAAGACGTAGTGAGACCTTGTTTCAACAAACAGACTACCACCAGCCGCAGAAGGCATTGAAACAAGTATGTCCTGGAAAATGCTGAGCTGTTGTTTTGCTGAGATAAGACAGAACTAATCTGGTTCTGTGTGAGATGTTACAACCTAATAACCTGGGTCCTGCTGTACTCAGGAATTGCCTGGAACCAGAAAGACCCAGTTGTGAAAATTAAAATTTATGGGGTACTATAAACAGGCTCCAAATTTTCCTCTGTGTTTGCTATGGTCCACTTGAAGCTACCTGCCAGAGAAAGATCAATAATTTTTGTCCCTTTTGCTAGAGGAATATGCAGTTTTATTTAGAGAGACTATTGGCAGGTGAGTAATAGGAATGAATATTTTTCTAACTTGAGAATTAATTGAGCTGTGTTTCTGTTTTGTTCAGGTTGCCTAGTTGTATTGTACTCACAGGGGCACTGTACCCAGAAGCACTATGGAGAGGTGCCTTCGAAATATGTTTGTTTTAATTAAAGTTTTTGTATTTCATATCTTGTATATCCTCTAGCTGGCCAATATATTTAGTTACTAATTCTCATGCTTGGGACTTCAGACATAGTAAGATGTTGAGGTGATGTGGTGTGAAGTAGTGAGGGTTTTTATGTTCCTTATTGTAAATCTAATTTTTTGCCCTGTTTTATTCAAGGAGTAGATATCAGAAGAAACGAAACACCCGCCGGAATAGTTCCTGAAGGAGATTTGATTCCTGTTCGCAGTTGTTTTGAAGGGGGATACCCTCTGGCTCAGGTATGTGTGGCTCTACATGTAGCTGGGCCAAGTGAGCTTCTCCAGCGTTTTTCTTTGTATATCCAGCAAGTTCTATGGACAGAGTCATTCAGGGGAAAAGATATAAAATAAAAAGTTGTAGTAATTCACATAAATACGTGAGTCTACATCCCTGACCCATTCCTGTATAGGTAGAATCAGGGATCAGAAAGCGTAAAGACAGTACCTCTCTTCTTTTCCTAGTTCTTATCCAAGAGTTAATTTCCCAGAGATGTAAACAAAATTGAAAAATGTCTGCTGTTTTTAGAAAGTCTCAGTCTTCAGCTCATGATTGTAGAAGCTGGAAGATGTAAATCATTGATGCTGAAGTTTTGGCATGGGTCTCCCGGCTCTGGCCCATCACACTAGAAAAGTAGACAGGGGACCAGTCCATGTGCAGAAAGGGCTACTTTTCACTCAGAGAGAACAACATTAGCCACCCCTCCCCCTTTTCACCATAATCTTCCATGACCAAGCATCTTCTAGGCTCCACTTCTCCAAAGTTCTGTCACCTTGCCATTGCCAGATTGGGGATGGAGCTTCCAGCACTTGGACTTGCTTGAATTGTATCCAACACATAACATTTGTACTATCCGGTAAAAATGGTTTGCTTTATCAGCCTTCATCACTGTACTGTTGGGTTGTCAGTCTTTCCTCTACCCTAAGTTCCTTAAGGGCAGGTGTCTTAATCACCTTGATGTTTCTAGTACCTGACACTATATACACTCAGTTCACACTATAGACAAAAGGCAGTGTCCCTGGAGGAAGGCTACACCTATAAAGAAAACATCACAGGGAAAGCAGCCGAGAGAAAAGAAGAAAAACAAGAATCACCTTCCAGGGAATGACTAAGTACAGTTAGAAGTAGCGCGTTGATCAACAGCCTGGGCCAAGGAAGGGTATGTTTGAACATCCACAGACTGCCTTCTAAGCAGATCTGCCTGATGAACTGTAGAGCATTTGTTGTGTTGAGTTGACTGTGCAGGCTGAAAGGCCCAACAGCTCTGTGTCTACACTCCTTCCAGACTTACCATGCTCAACCCTTCACCCAAATATCTCTTTAGCAAATACTTGAAGAATTATCTATGAAGATATGCTAAATTACCAACTTACCCAGGCTGTCAGCATCTTAGTTTGTTTGATCCTGTCAAAGGGGAAAGGACCTGTTAGGTTACTATTTTAAGCTAAATTGTTTAATGACAGTAAAGAAAAGCCATAGTTGTGGTTTTTGTTTGTTTGTTTGTTTTTCCCCTCCTTTACTGACAACATCCCAGTGGAGTTCAAAGTTCAATATATATATATATATAAAATATATGTGTGTGGGTGTGTGTTGTGGGGTACATGCTGCTGCTTCTTTCTGTTAACTTGATTGCAACCAAAACCAGAATGTTATAGCTATAAACAAATGAACTTCCTCTTGTTGTTCCAGTACTTTCTCATATTAATAATTACATAATAGGAAAATGGGTTTTAGTTCAGTCAGGAGGAAAGGACATGACATTGAATTATTTGATTTTCTTTTTTACTTCTTTTTTTTTTTTTTTTTTTTGGTTTTTCGAGACGGGTTTCTCTGTGTAGCTTTGTGCCTTTCCTGGATCTCGCTCTGTAGACCAGGCTGGCCTCGAACTCACAGAGATCCGCCTGGCTCTGCCTCCCGAGTGCTGGGATTAAAGGCGTGCGCCACCACCACCTGGCCTTTTTTACTTCTTAATGTATGTGGTTTGGGTAAGCTAAGAAAAAGAACACTATTATATTACTTAATAGAAAGTCGGCTGAGGCCATCTGAAATATACATGTAGAAAAAGAGGTTTTCGTGTTCAAATAGAAACTAATGTGACTCTTGTTAGATTTAGAGATCAGAACCCTTTTTATACTAAGAGAATTTCTATCTGAAACTTAGTTCTTCTTTCTTCCCATGAACCTTAAAGTAGCCTTAAAACATATAAGCATATGCCCTTGTTCAAGGAAAAAATAGGAATAAACAAAAAATATAATGTGCAAAAGACTTTAACAGAGTTTCCTTATCTAAAGTCACTTTCCAGTTCCAAAATTTCAAATGTTTTATTAATGATAGCTGTGGAAGAACAGTATTAAGACTCAGGAGACTGTAGACTCTTACACAACTCAATGTTGCCAGGGCCTAGTCACAGAGTGGATAGTTCTCAACATTCAAATTAAACCCTGTGCTTGTACAAGCTTATGAGTTATTGATACTGAAAGACCAATCAATTGCTGGATTTGCAACAAAACACCTTCACAGGTCTTGTGTGGGCATCTTTGGAAAAATGAATTGGAAATAAATAGAATATTAGTGACAAATGGAATTTTAAATTGCAAACTTGTTTTTAGCAATGAAACTCATATTACTATCTGAGCACAATGTGACTAAAATGTTTTAATGAAATGTCTTCTTGCTGGGTCAGTATTAAATATCAGAGGGACTGGGTCATGTTGGTTAAGAAGGATAATGTCAAAAGGAGTCTGCATAATTCCTTATGCCCTTTGTTCCTGTTCCTTGAACTGGATGGTTTTGCCCTCAATCTTAATGCTGTCTTTATGGGAGGATGGAATTTTCAAATTGGTTTTTAAACTCTGTTATGCCCTCGCGTCTAATATAAGCTAACCGCATTATTCAGGTTTTCTTGCTTTCAGGAATGGGTTTGCAGCCATTATGTCATAATTGAACTGAACATTGTTGCATACTCTGAATTTGCACTGTGCTGCTCTGGCTCTAGGCCAGTTGCTGAGTCAGTACATTTGGGGTTGAGGATAGAAGGAGGAGGGCAGAATGTGCAGACTCCATTGTGTTAATTAGTTCAGAATTCCCTCTAGACCACTCCTAGATACTATGAGGCACGTCCTGTGGAGTACATGACTTGTCTTGATTAGCATTGTTTTAGTTTTTTCGGTTGGATGTTCTCATAGAAACCTTTCCTTGACCCTGACATTGTCACGTGTCTACTCAGTTCCATTACTGAGTAGACTCCTCTGAAGTGATAATCTAGAAGGAGTGACTGCTAAGGTTTAAAGATTTTAAAACACTCTTGCATGCACGGAAGATCCTTCTCCTGCTACACGTCTGTCAGCTTACTACAGGCCAAGGCAAGGGCAGCAGTGCTTCTGGAAGTGGGGAAGAATGCCAAGAGGAAGAGGATGTGTCATTTAAAATAACATTTTAAGTATGTCTAACAGTCTGTCCGACTCCCATGGTTGAACAGTTTCGAGATGAGTGCCAGGCCACTCCAGTGTCAGCTCCCCCATTTCCCAGCTTAGCACTTTCTGAAACCACTGCGTCCCAGTTATGAGTAAAGAGGGAGATAAAACAATTGACAGTATGTTTACACTTGTGTATGGATCTCAGAGTGAATCCTGGTCTTCTCTAAATAGCTGAATCTTTTCAGCTTGCAAAGATAGAAACGTGATCAAGGCCTTGTGCGAGCATGGGCCATTCCTGTGCTATTTCTTTAGTATGGGATTGCCCTTTCTTGCGTTACAAGGACATCTGAGACCCAACGCCTGTGAACTTGCTTCTCTTGAGTCTCTGGAAAATGAGAGATCAGGACAAGTAGTAGAATTTCCATTTCACAGTTGGCAAAACTAAGGCCCAAATAGGTGAAGAGTTTTCCTGTGTCTCAGAACTTAGTGGCAGTTGCGTTTCTCTTTGGGATCTGTTTATAGAATCCTCACCTGAATAATGCATTCAGGAAATTCAAATATAGAATTCCAATGTAAGCTCTGAATGAACAATTGTACTACTTATGCTTAATTCCTCTGATTGATAAGTTTGAGTGTAAATTGTGTTTATTTAAAATATTTTGTTCTCTCCAGCAACCTTGTTCAGAACTGCTTGGGACAAGTTTTATCTTTGAGCATAATCAATAATTCCAACTTAACACTTTCCTCAGGGGGTTTCTATTCTGATGTACGTGGTTTGAGGAAATCATTAGTATTATAGTAATGACTACTTTTTCCATCAGTAAAAAATAAGGACAACACAGAGAAAGAACCACTGGAAGGAGATGATCCTTTGTTTAAAACCTGTCAATGGAAAAATGATTTTTGAAAAGCTCAGTTTGGGTGGCCTGGTTTGAATTTTCTGAAAATTTCTGAGTGAATTAAGCCACAACCTCATGCCAGGGTATTTGCTATCCAATCTTGCATAGACACAGTGCTGTCCAGTTAAGTAGTGTTCACAGTCTGAAATGTTGAGCTGTAGCCAAAGTATATTTCAGTCCTGCCGTTTCTCACTTCTGAAACCACTGTTGCTAGGAATGTAAGTCTGCTGTCTGGGGCCAATAAAAGCAAAGTTCCAGAAAAAAAAAAATCATTGTCATTATTTATAAAATGCCTCTTAGGATTATTCCATAGCCAATAATTAAGCTTTGATTCTATGTTCTGTTTTGATTTACACAGCTTTTTTAATTTATTGTCCCTTTTAAGATAGTCAACATTTGTCTCCACTCTTTTCCTCCTTTTAAGTTGTTAAATCAGGCAGGAACCAGTCAAGAGTATGTGTTAGTAGCAGACATTGGTTATAGGATTAATACCTATAACAACGTCAGATACATCTCTCCCGACTCATGTATGTCATTTCACTGTCCCATTCTAGACAAGCCCTCATCACTGGTGGCCGATGGACTGCTCCTTCATTATGGAAACATCCTTTCCACTAGCTTCTACGGTGACATACTTTCTGCTTTCCTTCTATCTCCACAGTCATACTGCTTGTCCTGGCTTTTCTCTACCGGATGGCTACAAGTTGGATTGCCTCAAAGACCTACCTTGAACCCCCCTTTTCTGTACTGCTGAGATTATCTCATCTAGTTTCACAGCTTCAGAAATAATCTTCATACCAACGAAAACTCTAATTTTTATCTTTAGCTCTTGCTCTTCACATGAGTACCAAACTTATATATGTCACTGTCCACTTGAGTGTAGATGTAACCAACCGTCTTATTCAATAAGAAACACAGAGCCGATTC